CACTGTTGAAAAGTGAACAAATTACATTCCAACTAATATTAGGTGAGCAAAGTTCTCGCGATTCTTGGTGCTCTAATTTCGAATCCTGTTTAATGTACCACTTTTTGTGAAGTTTCTGTCACCAATTACTGCCTAGGCAATGACGGCACGCACTGTAAACTTCAGCTCATAACTTGGCTTTGGTGAATAGAAAGGGACCGATTCTACTCCACGACAGCCCTCAGGCCGGAGTCGTACAACCTGCAATGAAGAACTTGAACGAATTGGGCTACGGAACTCTCCCGCATCCACCACATACCACAGCTAGCTCTCGCCGATGGCAGTGGTCAGCGAAGGGGGTCACATCGGTCTTTGAGGGAGACAATGTACTTTTCATGGTTTTTCCCGTTTCACGCTTGCTTCACCCACCCTCTGCTTGATGAATTTTCATTCGATGGACTTTGTTTCAGGGCCATCATCATTGGGGCTTCCGCAACAGGTGAGGTGATTCGGTCGCTGGAGGGAGGGGGTCGTCATGGCCTGGGAAATTTCTTTGACGGTTAATTTTTCTTGCTTGATGAGCGCTATAAGGCCTCGGCGGCGTAAGGATGGGGTAGGGTCGTATTTGCTCGTTGTTGGGAGAGGGGGTCGTATTCCCGAGAGAATTTGCGGCGTTGTGAACAAATTTTCCGGTTGTTGACTTTCGCGGTTTCTCCTGTTTCACTTGTGCCTTCCAAAAGCCATGGAGAACTGGGATCAGGGCACATCGTTGTTGGGCAATTCCCAACAGGGGGTCGAAATAGGTCGCCGGGAGAGGGGGGTCGTATTTGGGCTGAGAAATTCATTTTTATATTACCAGTCGCCTCGCCGGCTGACGCCGGCGCGGCTCCTTCTGATACGGCCCGGCTGCGCCGGGCGGGCGCGGCTTCGCCGCGCGTGCTTTCTTTCACATATTTCTAGACTCAACTGATATCCGCCTTTTGTTCTGTACTCCACTTTTTTCCGGTGTCTGAAGTACTCTTGAGCTATTTTACAGATTCTTCGTCTGACTCCGCCCACCTCGGAGCAGGCCCCGCCCACAATGTTTGTGCCCCACAATCCTCACCGGCGACCCTCTGCTGACCTTAATTCACTTTTTCCGGTCTTCGGAGTGCTCTGGAACCGTTTTACAGACCTTTTTGTCTGGCTCCGCCCACCTCGGAGCAGGCTCCGCCCACAATGTTTTTGCCCCACAATCCTCACCGACGACCCTCTGCTGAACTTAATCCACTTTTTTCCGGTATCTGGAGTGTTCTGGAACCGAGCTACAAACTTTTAAAATGAATACCCTGCGATTTAGGGCAAGCTCCGCCCACTGTGGGCGGGTCTCAACACACTTTGAGCGTGCCCTATATTCGCCAGATATTTACATTCTACACTGAGTTTTTTGCGACTTCCAAACACTCTCGCGAACCGGGTTACTGAATTTTGCGAGAAGCACCGCCCACCTTGAGTACGCCCCGCCCATTTAGGGTGTACCTGCCACAGTTAGTCTGGCGACTCCTTACTAACCTTAGTCCCTTTTTTCCCCATCTTTAAGCTGCTCCGGAAGCGAATTATGAACATTTTTCTGCGGAACCCCAAACTTTCGGCGAGTGCCCCGCCCACTGTGGGCGGGGCTTCCCATAGGTCAAGTGTGCTTTTTATTTCTTGTCCCATGCCCTACCATCCCCACCTTGACCCGACCTCTCCAAGTCGTTCTTCAGGTCGAACCGAATTTCCGGACAGACAAACTTACAAACTTACAAACAAACAAACATACAAACAAACAAACAAACAAACAAACAAACAAACAAACAAACAGACAAA